TAAAAATATATAAGGCTCTAAACAGCCCTTGGCATCTCTTCATATCTGCAGTACCCTCAACTTACCAATTAACTCTAAAGAAAAAATACTTGTAAAATAATTTCAGCCCTCTGTTAAGTTGGGAAATTCAAGGAAGAAAAAAGTTCAAGAGAAGATCAATAAAATAAACAGAAGGAAGGAGCCCTGTAGAAGTCACTGACTTTTCCACAATTAACACCCTTCATTATACTGCAGGAATTCTCAAACGGGGGAAGGGGCAGGACGGGTGGGTGGTGATCTCTTCTGGTTAAGAATTACTATTCCAGATCATCTAATGTTCATAATGAACCAATTATCATAACAACAAGTAGGCACAATCCGTCTGGGTGCTAGACAATTTATTAAAAGCAAACTATGTCTTAATAGCTAAGGGTGCAGTGGTGAACAAGAGTGCTATTATAATAGGCTAGTGCAGCAGCTTGGGGATAAATCAAAGTCTATAATCAATAAACTAACATTTCATAATCACAAATACAAAATCAAGTTGGAGTTACAGACCCATACTATGTGCTATTAGTATTCCTAATTACCACTTTTTGAATATAAACTATATGCCAGGAACTTTGATAAATGCTCTATATGCATTCTCATTTAAACCTGACACTTCTATCAAATACGTATTATTTCCCACACTTCACAGATAAGCAATATGAGACCAAAGAGGTTGAATAATTTGCCCATGACCACACAGGTAAGCAGAGGCAGAGCTGGATGCATCAAGTCTCTCTGACCCTAAAGCGCATCTTCTTTCCACACTATGATGGCAAGATTCCAAGAGGTACCCTCTAAAACTGGAGGGTACTGAATTCAACCCAGGTTCAAGGAGGCCTAACCTAAGTCAGTCCTTCTATATTTAATGCATTTTCTTAAAATGGTCTCAATTTAGCATTTTTGTCTAGTGCTAGAATATAAGATTTTTTTTTTTTTTTTTTTTTGGAGACGGAGTCTCGCTCTGTCGCCCAGGCTGGAGTGCAGTGGCCAGATCTCAGCTCACTGCAAGCTCCGCCTCCTGGGTTCACGCCATTCTCCTGCCTCAGCCTCCCAAGTAGCTGGGACTACAGACGCCTGCCACCTCGCCCGGCTAGTTTTTTGTATTTTTTAGTAGAGACAGGGTTTCACCGTGTTAGCCAGGATGGTCTCGATCTCCTGACCTCGTGATCCGCCCGTCTCGGCCTCCCAAAGTGCTGGGATTACAGGCTTGAGCCACTGCGCCCGGCCAAGATTATTAGCAAGAAAAAGTTGTATATAAAATCTTAAGTGAGAGGCATCCTGTATTAGACTAACATTAGTTCCTTTAAATAGTCTCTTTAGTAATCTTCATTTTACAAAACGATACCAATCCATGGAGCCTGACACAATCCACTAGGTTAAAAAAAGATGTGTGTGTATGCATAAACATGTATGTATGTGTACATATAGCTTTCTCTGGTTTCACATTCCCAAAATTTTGTTTTATTTGAATATTCCTTCAGAAGAATCTTTAAAAGTCAAATATTTAAGAGATGAAAGATTAAGAATATATGGTAAATATTTCTATAGTTCACAAGAGGCATAATGTTCCAGTTTCTATTACTAGTATGCTACGACACACCATGGATAAATCATTTTTACCTCTGGGCTTCTGGGAGAGGAAATTGGATGACACAATCTCTAAGGTGCATCCTATTTTTTAAATGTGTGGCTATGTAACAACCTACAACACTTTTCAAAGCATGACTGACTTTATCTTTGAACATAGCAAGCAAAGAGCTACAATAGAGGGAGAAGATAAATCTAATTAGCATTTACTATTTCATCCGGGCACTTAATTTAACAGCTTCTTTAGCAGCATATCCAGGCTGGACGTGGAAACTTGGTAAGACCCCTAGGAATCACCAACTCTCAGGGAATAACACTTGGCTAGCTCTTCTTTTTTTAATCTAAAGGTGCTTAGCTTAGTCTGAAAAGAAAATAAATCCCACTTCTTTACCCATGAAAACAATCTTCTTCTATTTAAATAATCCCTCCATCTCAGCCTCTAGGAACTAATAAAAGGGGGTTTAAGATTGCCAAATAAGGTACTGGTACCAAAACAGATATATAGACCAATGGAAAAGAACAGAGGCCTCAGAAATAACACCACACATCTACAACCATCTGATCTTTGACAAACCTGACAAAAACAAGAAATGGGGCGAGGATTCCCTATTTAATAAATGGTGCTGGGAAAACTGGCTAGCCATGTGCAGAAAACTGAAACTGGACCCCTTCCTTACACCTTATGCAAAAATTAACTCAAGATGGATTAAAGACTTAAACGTAAGACCTCAAATCATAAAAATTCTAACAGACAACCTAGGCAATACCATTCAGGACATAGGCACGGGCAGACTTCATGTCTAAAACACCAAAAGCAATGGCAACAAAACTCAAAATAGACAAACAGGATCTACTTAAACTAAAGAGCTTCTGCACAGCAAAAGAAACTATCATCAAAGCGAACAGGCAACCTACAGAATGGGAGAAAATTTTTGCAATCTACCCATCTAACAAGGGCTAATATCCAGAATCTAAAAAGAACTTAAACAAATTTACAAGAAAAAAATCAACCCCATCAAAAAGTGAGCAAAGGATATGAACAGACGCTTCTCAAAAGAAGACATTTAAGTGGCCAACGAACATACGAAAAAAAGCTCATCATCACTGGTCATTAGAGAAATGCGAATCAAAACCACAAGATACCACCTCATACCAGTTAGAATGGCGATCATTAAAAAGTCAGGAACAACAGATGCTGGAGAGGATGGGAGAAACAGGAACGCTTTTACACTACTGGTGGGAGTGTAAATTAGTTCAACCATTGTGGAAGACACTGTGGCAATTCCTCAAGGATACAGAACTAGAAATACCATTTGACCCAGCAATCCCATTACTGAGCATATACCCAAAAAATTATAAATCATTCTACTATAAAGACACATGCACACATGTTTACTGCAGCACTATTCACAATAGTAAAGACTTGGAACCAACCCAAATGTCCATCAATGATAGAACAGATAGAAAATGTGGCACATATACACCATGGAATACTATGCAGCCATAAAAAAAGATGAGTTCATATCCTTTGCAGGGACATGGATGAAGCTGGAAACCATCATTCTCAGCAAACTAACGCAAGAACAGAAAACCGAACACCTCATGTTCTCACTCATAAATGGGAGCTGAACAATGAGAACACATGGACACAGGGAGTGGAACATCACACACCAGGCCCTGTCAGGGGGTTGGGGGGTAGGGGAGGGATAGCATTAGGAGAAATACCTAATGTAGGTGACGGGTTGATGGGTGTAGCAAACCACCATGGCACGTGTATACCTGTGTAACAAAACTACACGTTCTGCACAAGTACCCCAGAACTTAAAGTATTAAAAAAAAAAAAATAGTTGCTGAGTAAGTACTCTTTAGTAAATATGGGTGAGGATCTCAAAAACTAATGAAATCTGTACACAGTAGCAAAGGAGGATTCAGGAGTTCTGCCTATTCTCTCGTTGGTTCCTCTTTAATAAACTAGAAATGTACACCAAATACGGAAAAAGAGCAGATGATTACATATAGACGAAATCTCAAAGATCACATTTTCTAGTTTAAGTTTTCTCGTTACTTGTGACTAAATACCTAAATTATCTAATTAAATTAAAACACAAGCCTCAAAGGTATGTTTACAGTGATTCATAAAATTACAGGCCATGCCACTGTGGTTTAAATTTACAACTTAATTTTATAATTAAGCCCCAAAGACTATAAAGAGGGGGATAGGAGAGGGGGAGAATGTAAATATATACAGTATACCTATTTTCAACAATAACTGAACAATTTTAAAAACAAGAATAAAATTTAACAAATCGAAATTAAAGTAACGTTATCTTTAAAATCTCATTGTCATTCTTTTCCCCAAAGTACTAAAATAATAACATCTTTAGTACTAAAAATACCAGAAGTCAGTTACTATTCATCTTACACACCGAGACAATGAAGTCAAAACTGCAGTAAACAATTTTACTAAAATGAATACAGCACCAAAAAAAAAAGGGGGGGGGGACTAAAATCCAAAGCTCCTGTTTACAGGATCCATGATGTATTCAAAAACCAAGACACCTAATCAAAGATCCTGCAAAAATTAAATTACTCAAGCTTCTGATCACCATTCTAAAAATGCCTCTGCAGGAAATATACTCTCTGACAAACTTCACAGAAAAAAAATGAAAAGTATAAACACACTCAAAGGACCTGACAAATGGATACCCGCATAACTAGATAAGGTGAAGTTTTTTCCCCAAATTTAACAAGTCTTTGACTTAAAATTTAAATATCCTATAGGTATTAACAGGATAAATTAATACAACGCTGATAAATAATACATGCTAAGCCTATGGTACAAGCTTGAATTTGAGACTTTACACAAGAATTTTAAGTATCCACGCATCCCATTAAAGCCTCAGACCTCCAGAAATTAGTTTGTTAAATACCTATGAAGGTCTTCCCAGGCCACATGTGTCTAATCAATAGGGGATTTACTAGAGAACACTTTTCAGAAGGAAATATGTTAAGGAAATACAATTTTATTAACAATTATCTATTTTATTATCTTATAAATATTCAAAGGAAATCTTTGTTAATTACTAATATACTTTCCTAAATGCAATACACTTCATTTACAGATTAAAACATACATTAGAGTCTAAAGTAGTGGTTCTCAACTGATGGCAACTAGCAATGTCTGGTGACGTTTTTGGTTTTCACAACTGGAAGGTGCTACTGGCATCTGGGGGGTAAGGCCAGGGACTCTGCTAAACTTCCTACAATGTACATAACAGCTCCATACAACAAAGAATTATCCAACCCCAGTATCAATAGTGCCAAAATTAAGAAACCCTTATACAGTCCGAATTGCATTGTAAGGACTATTAAGGTTTACTTACCTTTAAATTTAATATCCAGACCACTAAATTCCAATTCAACCCCTTGAAGTGCTTCTCCCAGAGTTTCATGGTAATGGCTGATACTTTTTTTTGACCCCACACAGAATGGAAGTGAAAAGTACTTATATGTTTCTTGACGATTATGGTATGGCCCAACAGTATTCATCCATAAGACAACTTCCTCTTTATCTTGATACTGAAACAAGAAAAACAAATGAATTAAAAAAAAAAAAAAAACTAATTCAAATTAAGGGAATATTTGTTATGAGTTCTAAACAAAAGTGCATCATCTCTGTTCAGGAAGCTATAAAATAAAATACTGGAAGCTTAATCTGATGATGAATGTCCACATCTTAAAAATGAAACTTTGTGAATTTTAAAATTATATCCTCTGATGGTAGTCTCGGGAAGATACATCTTTTTCAAACTTGTTTTATAGAAAAGAGTGTGTAAACTAAGTCCAATAGCTCATGAGAGTACCTCTATTATTTACATTTATACTATCAAATAATGGCAAACCTGCAACCAGCATGATTCACCATGCTAACATGGACAAAGAAGGAGGAAACAAAATCAAAAGTTTATCCAGAACCTCATGTTAATCAATAAATTAAAAAACAAAAACTAACATTGCCAGCAAGCATAAATAAAATTTCATTTCCTTGTGAGACTTTCACACAGCCACTGGTCAAAGTACTACAGAGGACAGAAATGACCAAACACAAGGAAGAAGACTACTACAGAACCTCCACAAGTCCATTCAAGCCAATATTCTATCTTGTTAGCAGCCTGAAAGACATGCACTATATGCATATTTCTTTGAATAAGTAATTATGGAACTACGTATCAGTGAATACTACACATAGCTAAATCTGAAGTGTGGTCAATAATGACTTTGGGTAGTTCCAAGGTACAAGTGGGAGGCCTGTCAAAGATTTCTAAGATCTCTACAAGTTTAAAGTTCCAATGATTCTATAGAAAGTGATTCCCATAGTAACTTTAAAACTAATAATTCTAAGTAGCAACATAAATTAAAGACAACACTGGATGCATTTTAAATCAACTAATAGTGCAGACATTAATTTACTAAACAATTATTTACTAAGTGCTTAGCATGTGAAGCAACTGTGTTTATAACTGAGGATATAGCTTTGAATAAGATGTGTTCCCTGCCCTTCTGGGGGAAAGATGGGCATTAAACAATAAGGTAGGTTGCTATGGAGCATATAATAGAAGAAGCTATCCAACTGGCCTACTATGAAATTCTTATCTCCAGTCCTCCATCTAAAACTAGTTAACAAACATTTTCAATCAAAACCTAACATCTCCAAAACCAAACTTATCTACCCAAATCCACTTTCCTCAGCTTCATTTTTCTAATGGTACTACCGTTCTCTCAGACATGGAGACTCAAACCCCAAATCTCTCTGCACTCCAGGGAACCCAAAAACATTTAACTTACATGTTCTTATCCAAAACATCTGCCTTTTTCTCTTGATTCACACGACTACCACCCTAAGACTTAGACCTAGTCATGTTATTTTCAAACATAAATGCCTCACTGTTCATATAAGACAACAGCCAGATCATTAAGGAAATAACAAATGATCTCACCTTTTGAATACATATGTGACAGGTACCGAGCACAGCATTAGGTATTAAGAATATAAAAGTAAATGAAATACTGTCGTTTCCTTAAGAAGTTCATAATCCACAGTGGAATCAGACAAGTAAATGATTAACAAAGAAAAAATAAGTATTATAATTAAGGTACTAAAGGGCAACAATAAAGGAATGATTAAATTCACTTTGGCAGAGAAGGTCAGGATGAATAACAATTTGGAAAATCATAAGCTGTTTCAAGGGAGTTCAGAAAAACTGTAGATAATCTTCATGTAGGAAGTAATGAATCAAAGGTCTAAATGTTAACGTATCTGTATATCCACATTCATTACTATTCTTTTTGTCTGGGGAGACTGACAAATTTATGTAAGCCCCCACTCTTCCATCCAATGCTCATGGCCACACAGCACTAATCAAAAAGTTAACTCCTTTCTGCTGAACGTAGATACCGCCTCAGAGTTCTCAAAACAGTGCTCTAAACCAACCACTACCAACTAACAAGAGTTGATATTAGAATTAAAACTTGTTCATGGCCAGGTGTGGTGACTCACACCCGTAATCCCAGCACCTTGGGACACCGAGGCCGGCAGATCACTTAAGGTCAGGAGTTTGAGACCAGCCTGGCCAACATGGTAAAACCCCGTCTCTAATAAACACACAAATATCAGCAGGGTGTAGTGGCACATGCCTGTAATCCCAGCTACTTGGGAGGCTGAGGCAGGAGAATCACTTGAACCCAGGAGGCAGAGGTTGCAGTGAGCTGAGATTGTGCCACTGCACTCCAGTCTGGGTGACAGAGTGAGACACTGTCTCACAAAAAGAACCTATCCACCAAGGCAAATAGATATTTAATAAATATGACGGGAAAACACTGAAGAAATACTGAAGTGTAAAGTTCATTGGCAACTTGGTAAAAGAAGTTTGAAGGATGTGAAATGATATGTACACTGACTGTAAGAGTTACCTTTCCAAAAAATAAGGGGAGGTAACATAATTCATCTATTTAAGAGCAGAATGCTGAATGAGACGACCTATTAAAGAGCACCTTGCCATTAATCCTGCTGAGTCTGCAGAAATGTTATAAATGTAACTTGTGAAAATAAGCACAAAAATACTTTTCCTATAAATTCCAAAACTTTTCCTTTAAAAATAGACAAAATCTTTGAAAATAAATACCTTTAAAAATAGGGCATCCATTTATTTTATACAAATTAAAACATAAGGACTAAAATAATTTAAGGATCTCAGTCAAAGTTAAGCCAAATATTCCAAAGTCACTCATTTTAAACATTCAGGAACCCTCAACAGAATGGTAGAGTTACGACGTGATGCCAGCACTGTAACAAAACTTAACACCATTCTGCAGTATAAGATTCTTTCTGGGAAAAGGACTGAAACAGTAATTAGAAATACACATATTGAGAGTTCAGGGTGAATAGCAAGGCAAAAATAATGCTTTTTTTCTTTTATTTTGCTCCTTATTATGCAGACTGTGGTTTAATACAATGAACATAAAATGTTTACTTTTCATTGCAGCCCTTGATTGTCCCTGTGAATAAGTGCTTCCAAGACAAGATCAAGAGTTCTTTCTCAAGAGAAAATGTTTTAAAATATTTTGAAATTAAAAAATACCAAAAGATTTCACACAACATCTGAAGGAGAAAACAAAACAAATAAAAACCTTTCCTTTCCCTAAAGCTCTGACAAAGCCCCTGAGCTCCACAGTCTGTGGCAAGGGAGTGCCAGGCCCAGAAGAAGGTTGGGGGTGGAGTCACAGAAGCACAGCAGTGAATCAGGGAATCCCTAAACTGGATAATAATCCCTTCCTTCCATCTGAGGCTTCCCTGGGAAATAGCCAAGTAAGAAAAGGCCAATTCAGGCTACCGGCATTCTTCACCTACTTACTTTCCAACTCTCAGAAGAATCTCACTGCTACACTTAAGTCGTCCGCGCTGGCCAAAACGGTTTATGATATTGCCTTCCTCCCCTTTTCTGCTTCATCTTCTTTCGTCATTCCCCCAAATTTAGAATGCCCTCCTTTTCCCCACTTAGCCAAATTCTACTAACCCTTCCGAACTGCTCAAATCCTCCTTTTTCAAATCCTCAGGTAAAGCCTTAATTCACCAAACCCTAACATGACATGATCTCACCATTTTTGTAATAATAACATCACTAGCTAACAATAAATACATACTATGAGCTAGGTATAGTTCTAAGGTCTTTACATGAACATTTAAATAATCATCTCAACATTCTATAAAATAGGTCCTATTATTTCCCCATTTTACAGACTAAAAACAAAAACAAAACTAAAGAACAGAGATGTTAAATAATTTGTCCAAATTAATCAGCATCAAGTTTAAAAGGTATTTTTGCTAATCCCTAGTCAGCTTCATTCATTAAAGAGCAAAAAACTAAATCAAGGAAATATGAAAGCAGTGCAGGTGTACAAAGCAACTAAAGGCAGTCCTGAATACCGAGTAACTTTTCCACATGAGCCTTTAATCTGCCTGGGGGGGGAAAAAACCACCTTCTAAGAAATTATTTGCACTCTAATCTCAAAAGGAATGACCTTTATTCTCAAGAAGTCACCAATGTTGGGCCCCTCTTATTTAAATACTGTTTATGTGTTGGGGGTTACCAAAGTTTTCCTCCTTGACAGAGGTCACGAATTAATTATTCTCAGGATAAACGCTTTAGAAGATAATATTGCTGATGTAGTCATGTGAAATCTGAATAAGAAATCACAATTTATATAGATGGGCAAAGGACTGAGGGTTCAGAACAAGCACCAAAATGCTATCCTTCCTTTTCATACAAAGGAGAAAAATATGTGTGTTTACTTCAAAATAAATGTTCCAGAAATCATAATTTCAAAGCCTTTTAATTATTAAAACACACATCGGAATTCTAATACAAATAAATTAGAAGTGTATTTTTTTGAATAGCCTCTTGAGATAACTACTCTCTCTCAAAAATAGCTTTGTACCTAAATAAACTTTCAGTCTATCATTGAGTAGAGCTGAAAATAGGACAACGAACTTTGGTATTTAACAATCTACATTAGATAACTCACAAATGCACTTACAGTAAACAGCTTATACTCTTTACAAATTTTCAGTAAGTTTCAAGAGTTCATATACTCCCAACAGAGACAAAGACAAAAGGTTGCCATTTGCCAAAGTAAATCAAACAAAACATTTCTGAAATCACTTAGTGATATAATACAAAGTATTTATGAGGCAGAGGCTGAGTAAAGGATTCTGGCAGGCATTCAGTCTGTCCAACATTAGAAGTCTCAAGATTACCAGCATACTGGGCCACAGAGAAATAGGGAATTTTAGCCTAGGTAGGACCCCCAAATCGAAACAGGAGACAATGCATCTTAAATGAATAATGGCCTGAGTTTGTTCATTGTGCTTCCACGTTGCACATCCTTGTCACTAGTAGCTCCCTAATTATTCAAATCATTCAACAAGCACTGATCAAATACCACTTGTGCCAAGCACAGTGCTTGTGTATGTAACAGACCAAAAAAAAAAAAAAATCTGACTTTGTGATCTTGTTAAGGAAACAGAACCCATAAAAATTCAAGGCTACAGTGCAAACCATAAAATGCTCTAAGATTCCTGCACCCCTAAGTACTGGGTTTTTGGTGCTAACATCTTTACATATTAAAACTATGGAATTATACATACAAGACAGGTAGAAAAGGCAAGACTAGCGATCAGGAAGCTCTGATTGTTTCTGTGGCCTTGAGCAAGTCTCTGAACCTGTACAGGCCATTAGGAAAACGAGGAGTTTTGGATTAAATTATCGAGTCTTTTTAGTTCTAAAATTCTATGATTCTCAATCTGAAATCGTTTTTAATGTAGCCCTTCGGAATCTTAGGAGACATAGTAATCTAACTCTAGATGCTTCCAAGTGCTTTGAGTTTCAGAAAACCAAATAAGCATAAACACACCTTTCACTGACTCTATAAAGAAGCCTATATCCCTTCGATCACTTATTAAAAGCCTGTCTTCCACAAAAGTGTTAATTTTCGTTTCAAAAAACATGTCTGTAATGCATATATAATTCAACTTTTAAAAATTAAAAGGAACACATTCTTACATATTCTAGATATGTACATACAGTCTCCATTAAATCAATAGCACATTTCCTTTTCAACACTCTTCAGAGACTATTAAAAGAACTTCGGATAAATAAGCACATAAAAAATATGTATATATACACCATAGGGCCAGGCACAGTGGCTCAAGCCTGTAATTCCAACACTTTGGGAGGCCAAGGAGGGCGGATCACCTGAGGTCAGGAGTTCGAGACCAGCCTGACCAAGATGGGGAACTCCTGTCTCTACTAAAAAAATACAAAATTAGCTGGACACGGTGGCACATGCCTGTAATCCCAGCTACCCAGGAGGCTGAGACAGGAGAACTGCTTGAACCCAGGAGGCAGAGGTTGCAGTGAGCCAAGATCATGCCATTGCACTCCAGCCTGAGCAACAAGAGTGAAACACCGTCTCAAAAAAAAAAAAAAAAAAGAAAGAAAGAAAAAAGAAAAGAAAAAAATAGCATATGGGTCAGATGGCCACCTGAATCCTAATTCAGTAGGTACAGTAAGAGAAATCAGGGGCTTTGGGGAACGGACATAAGGTATTGCCTCCTCTTAGGACAAGCTATATAATTTGTGGGACCCAGTACAGAATAAAAATACAGAGCCCCTTGTTCAAAAATTTAAAAATTTAAATCCCACCTCTACCCCCACCAGATGTGTGTTATCTGCAGGTGACCTCACCTCTCTAGATTCACTTTCCTCATCTATAAAATGGGCATATTACTCACCTCATAGGTTATTAATAGATGACTTCTCACGCTCATGCCTGTAATCCCAGCACTTTGGGAGGCTGAGGCAGGCAGATCACCTGAGGTCAGGAGTTCAAGACCAGCCTGGCCAACATGGTGAAACCTCGTCTCTACTAAAAATACAAAAATTAGCCAGGCATGGTGGTGCGCACCTGTAATACCAGCTACTAGGGAGGCTGAGGTAGGAGAACTGCTTGAACCCAGGAGGCAGAGATAGCAGTGAGCGGACATTGTGCCACTGCACTCCAGCCTGGATGACAAGAGCAAAACTATGCCTCTTAAAAAAAATAAAAATAAAAATAACAGTGTATAGCCCATTTTGCTACAAAAGACATCCTAGCTATTATCTTTATCTGGAAACAATCTTTACAGGCAATTAATTTAAAGGCCAGCTTTAGTTTCTAAAAGTTAGTCTTTGATAATTCAATTATACATGTATTTACTAAACACCTACTTAGCAACCTGCCCATACCAATGTCTCCTCTTCCTTTAGTATTATTCTCTCTTTACTAGCTACTTTTGCTTCTTTGATAGAAAAATAAAAATAAAAAAATAAAACTTACTTGACCATATAGCTTTTTCAGTACTGTTATCTGGCTAAGATGAATGCCTAGTTTTTGAGAAATATTTTCAAGAAACTTAGAAAAAGCAAAAGATTTTGGTTAATAATGAAAAATATAATAAATGACACATTTGAATTTTATGCTTATTTTTAAATGCTATTCTTCCTATAACTTTTTTTTTTTTTGCTTTTTAAAATACGTATTTAGCCAGGCGCAGTGGCTCACGCCTGTAATCCCAGCACTTTGGGGGGCCAAGGCAGGCAGATCATTTGAGGTCAGTCGTTTGAGTTCAAGACCAGCCGGGTCAACATGGCGAAACCCCCTTTCTACTAAAAATACAAAAATTAGCCAGGTGTGGTGGCGCATGCCTGTAATCCCAGCTACTTGGATGAGGCACAAGAATCGCTTGAGCCGGTGAGGCTGAGGTTGCAGTGAGGTGAGACAGCGCCACTACACTCCAGCCTGGGCAACAAAGTGGGACTCTGTCTCAAAAATAAATAAATAACAGGTATTTAATAATGGGTAACCAAGTAAGAGCAGTTCAATACAGACGTGAAGTAATATGGATTCTAAACTTTTTGTCTAGCAACCATCTCATATATGCCATATTCTCTTTTGTGGCAGTCAACAAAAACCTTTCATCAAATATCTTATATTCAATTACTAGAATAAAAAACTGAAATAGTCCTAGCAATAAAACGTCATTGAAATTAAACTTTTAATTTGTAAATTATTCTAAAGCCTTTATATACATCCAATTTTTAAAATTTTAATTGTGTTTCCCTATTTATAGCAGTATAAGTCACAAGATAATTACAAGATTAAAAAGTAGAATACAGTACACTTGCGAGCCTATATGCCTGTATCATGGAACTACGCATTGAGATTCTGAGTATCATATGGTAACTTTTCTTAAGTGTTTTTTAAATTGGAAATATATTAGTAACAATATCATTAAACAAAAGGATGGATGCCCATTGAAAATTTAAAAATAATCAAAGACCCAAATCTATACATGGTCCCTGTATACTATGTGAAACAATAGCAGTTCTTCAACTTTGAGACAGCTTATCTGATAGAAGAAAACAAAAGGAAATCGTCTTAAGCTGTTTAACCTCCCAACAAAATCATCTTAGGTGAAACACCACAAGTACAGCACAAAAACATGTCACCAATTCAAGATTGGTGTCCCTAAAGAAATATATACCTACACAGGTAAGAAGTTTCTGGCTGTGACCGAAGGTAGAACAGCCAAAAGTTTAGAGCTTTTATTAGCTAAAATAAGAGCCCAGTTAGCCAAGGGTCCAGCGAAAAGTTTTGTTGATTACAAATAAAATCGGGTCCATTAAATATGTAAGGACGACTGCTTCATTTCCTCACTTTCCAGAAATGACCTAAGACTCCCTCAGATCTTTGTTACTTAGTCAAACACAATCTCTCATGGAAACTCCTATCATTAATGGTAAAGGTATAAAAAACAATTACTCGTCAAGCAAACTCTCAATTTACCTGACCTTCCTACCTTACTCAAGTCTACCATTCTGAAAATCAGAGTTACAGCCCTAAGTGAAAGCCACTTGAAGAGTCGTTCACATGCACGCTTTGATGTGAGAATGCCAATTAAATAAACTGCCAATCAACTTTAGGCCAAATGCAAAAGGGACTGTTCCTGGCCCTGACCTGAAGACTGGGAAACTTTAAGACCCTTTACTGTCAGAAGCTGCCTTAGTTAGGCACTATCCGGATGGGGGCCTCATTTGGGGGCCGGAAGGTGAGGAGAAAGTTACAAGAAAGGCCTAGGAATTGAATGTGTGTGGGTTAGGTACACTTATAAGTAAGTGTAAACTGCTCTTCAATTCAAGTTTATTAACGAGGCCCCACCCCAGGGTTTTAATCCGGTCTGGGAAGAAGCGGGCGAAAAAAGCCAAAGAGGACCATGAAGTGTAGTATATTTCCTGGTTAGTGGCTGCCGGGTAATCGCGATGCATCCATCTTCCTCCGCGTCGCAGCCCTCAGTAGCCAGAAGGCAGTCTCCTTCCCTGGGGGGCAAAAGCCCCGAGCCCAGCCTGCCCGTTGCCCCGCTCCCGCGGCGGCTGAACTCCAACCCTTCCCAGGCTCCTTCCCGGCCCCAGGACCCCCGAGACCCTGGGGTGCGGCGCCACTGAGGCGCAGGCCGGGTGAAGGAAGCCCTGGCACTCGGGAACGGAACCCTGTCCCAGGAGCGCACGGAAATGCCTGCTCCACGCTCCCAAGGTTCCTGCTCCGCCAGGCCCAACCGGAAGGAGTCCTCGGGACGCCGCGGGGATTCACCGGACCGCCGGGCCTTCCAGGCTGCGTGGGGCCTGCCTCGGTGGGCAACTGGGGAGCTAGCCCGGGGCGGCCGCACTGGCCGGGGCACCTCACCGTGTGTTCGTGCTCGTCCGCCCGGGCCCGTGGCAGCAACAGCAGCAACAGCGCGGCGGCCGCCGCCACGCCTGGAGCGCCAGGCAGCGGCCTCATCCTCCGCGCCCCACCGGCCCGGAGCCGGCCCACCGACTCCTCCTCCGCCGCCGCCGCCGCCGCCGCCTCCGCTGCGGCCGATTCGCATCCACGGGGCGCGGACAGACGCACGGGGCCCGGGCCCAGCCGCTGCCTCCTCTGCCGCCGCCGTCGCCGTCACCGTCACCGCCCGCTCCTGAGCCTCCCCCGCCCCGCGCGCCTCCTCAGCCTCTTCCTCTGACTCAGCCACGTCATCCGGCCACCCCGGCACGCGCCGGAAGTGCCTCGCGACGCGGGGCCGCCACCGCCGTCGGGCCGAGGGAGGGCCCTGCAACCGCCGCCTGCGCGCCGGCTCCTCGCCGGCTCCTGGGAGCCGCGGGCGACCGGCCTGGCGAGCACTCGGGCAGGCGCCGAGCAGGCTGGGCCCCGGCGCAGTGGCCTGGCCTGGACCGCAAAGCCGAAGCCGCGTCCGGGCCGCGTCCCGGTGTTTAGGGTTGTGTAACCTTGGCCAAAATGCTTAACTTTCTCTGGCTGCCAAATGGGGCCGATCGTCTGACCTCCTGCCTTCGGAACTTGAGGGATCAGATCAAATAACCCTTTCCTGCCGCTGTGAATGAATCACGGGCTCCTGTAATCACCGTTAGGAGATATAGTGAAACTCATACAGCGTTGGATAAGTTGTTTTAAAGTTACTGAATACTTACTGGACCCCTACGATTCAATCGAGAAATGCTAAGTTAGTTTGCCATTCTTGTACATTTGTGTGTTTACTTAACTATTTCTGGGTCTCCTCTTGCCTGTCATAAATACCTCTTGGAGTGTAAGCTCCTCGGAGGAGAGGGCCTGTTTCCATATTTCCTGTACCTAGAACAGTGCCAGATCCGTAGTAGAGACTCAAAAAAAATCTTTAAAAAAAAATACACAAATGTGGCACCACCATTTACATAGTCCTCTAAGCCAAAAATCTAGGACTTCTCCGCCATCAGCAATCAACAAGTTCTAGCATTTGGTCTCTTAAAAGTGGTTAAAGAGTTTATTTTTCCTCTCCTTCCTCTGCCATTACCAACCAATTTTCCGTATCACTATGTATTGCAAGAGTCTCCCAAGAGATCTCCACCACTGACTGATCTGCCTCCCCTGTTTATCATCCCCAACAGGTGCCAGAGTGATCTTTCTAAAAAGAAACCAGATTATATCGCGCACTCCCTTGCTTTAAACACTTCTTGAATGTTAGGTAAATCAATCATGGAGTCACCACCAAGGTTTTCATCTGCCAGGCACAATTCTGAATGATATTGGCTCATTAAATCCTCACAGAAACCCCATGCGGCAGATACGGTGAAAATGTTCATGTTACAGATGAGGTAACTGAAGCAAAAAGAGCTTGAGTGGCTTGCTGAAAGACCAGACCCACTCAGTCTGGCTCCATAATAGGTCTTTTTGCGACTAATGATTTACCAACTATACAGCCACTTTAAAAAACCGAAATAGGTAAGTACTGGCATGGAATGATAACCAAGAGGTACTGTTAAATTTTTAAGTTGAAGAAAATAATAGTTTAATTTCATTTTGTATGGCAATATGTTATCCTGCCCACAGAAAACAATCTGAAATATGACAAACCATTATCAGTGGTTAACTTTCTAGTTTGTACATGCCTATAAATGTTTAGTTACTTTTTACAGTGAGCATGTGCTAACTATGTCATCAGATTAAAAAGTTCCCTGCCAAAGGATAAAGTCCAAATTTTTGCCTATTTTATCCCTAATTTATTTCCCTAACTTTACCTTCCATCAGTCTCTATGCTCTGCCTTCACCCATATGTATTTTTACACCTCTGTGCCTTAGGTCTTTATACTCCCTTTATCTGGAATGCCCTGCTTCACCTTGTGCCTTCGATATTATCCTTTCAGACCTAGCTGACGATCACCTCCTCAGTGAAACCTTGCATGATCCCTTGGGAAATGGAGCATTCCTTCTTTAGGATTTCAGTAGCATTTGGCGTGTTGTGTTGTAATTATTCACATTTCCTCTTCTATACTGCATTCTGACCTTTTGATTGCAGAGACTATCATTTGTTTGTCTTTATATCTGTCCCAGCTGCTGAGATAGTGCTTGTCACATGTATTCAACTCTTTGCTGAATGAATGAAGACATTAACAAGTGAAAAGTCAAATAGCATAGCAGGATTTGAAGAATGCTTTCTAGATAGTGTAAGAAACATCACAAGGCAGTACATGATTAATTGCTGAATGAATCATACACTAGTAATTGCTGTAGAAATCAGAGGAGGCATCTTATACATCTTTGTATATCCTCCCAAGCACCTAGCAGGGTGACTTGCTCATCGTGAAAGCTCAGTCAATTCTGTGAATGAATAATCACTGCTCTTGAATGAAGTGATGATGGGCAATTGAAGAACAAGCCATGTAAGTGCTACATTAAGATGGATGTGTAGTTTCTTAAGTATCCATCACCACCCTCCACAGATTTGAGGTAGTATGCATGTGGCAGGTATTTTGGGGAGGACTGTGTTGGCGAATGCTTAAGAGGTAGGGAGGACACAGGAAAAAGTATAAAGTATTCATTTGGGGAGGATAGATTAAAACCAGGAAACTTTACACACAGAACAGAGAACAGGCATGACAGTGTACAAAAAGGAACACAAAAGGTGACCAGCTGTGCAAATTTTCAACAGGCAGTAAAAGCAATGGGCAATGAGAGAAGTGGAAAGACCCCTATTTCAGAGGTGTATTTGGGAAAGTTTAATGGATGGAAGAACCGGTAGAGCCATTAATTCAATGATGATTTATCAAGCATCTACGATGTATCAGGAACTCTGGTAGGTACTAGGGGAATCATGCTGATAAATGGCATTAGGTGATACAAGTCTGACAACAGTAGGTATGGAAAGAAGGAAAGGGAGATAAAGTAACTGATTAGAGTAAAAGAAGTGTGGCTTCAAAGATCCTTGGAGCCTGATGACCTCAACAGGACAAAACAGGGCTCAGGTCACCATCAAAATTAGGGTTGTTTCACTAAATTGAGGAGTGAAAAACATTGACATACCTTATGTCACCACTTATTTCATCTGGATGAATGACCTCATTCCCTGACACCAAAAAGGATGGCAGCAGTGGGGGGGGGGGGGGAATGCCAGTGAAAGGAGATCCCCACCTCCCCCAGTGACTATACAGCCTCTTTCTATGGTAGTTCTAATAAGACTCCATTTTGGTTAAAGAGCTTATGACCAGCAAGCAATCCAGAAAACCAAAATTTCAGTCTTTTATTTTCATTCTAGGTAAACATGATCATCAAAAGTATTAGGTATGGGGACTGGGCACAGTGGCTCACCCCTGTAATCCCAGTACTTTGGGAGGCCAAGGCGGGCAGACTGCTTGAGCTCAGGAGTTCTAGACCAACCTGGGCAACAGAGTGACTCACCCCCATCTCTACAAAAAATACAAAAAAAATAATCTGGGCATGGTGGCATGTGCCTATGGTCCCAGCTCCTCAGGAGGCTGAGGTAAGAAGATGACTTGAACCCAGGAGGTGGAGGTTGCAGTGAGCTGACTGTGCCACTGCATTCTAGCCTGGGTGACAGAGCCAGACTCTGTCTCAACAACAACAACAAAAAAAAGTGTTAGGGTATCTTCTGATTTCCATCATCAGCTAGTTTTTCTTTGAAATTCTATTTCTTCCTTCCACTTTGTTATGTTTGTCTTGCCGGTTATGTACTTCAGCAGGGTGGGGGTGGGGGACAGTTCATCTATTGCTATTTGCCATTTTCCACCTCCACCATTTCTGTTCTAGCTGTAATGTTCTAGACACGGATCTTCATGATTGCTCTGAGTTCTTTCTTTAGGAAGCCATTACTGAGAACATTTAGTTCTTGGACTGAAGAGCGACTAAGGCCATTAGTTTCTCTGTGTGGTTCCTCTTTCACTGTCTCTCAGTTCTTTAACTGATATAACAGTGAGACAGAGCAAAGAACAGCAGGTGCCACATAATAAAAAGAGCCTTGCCAGTTAGGTGGTGACGCCACTAAGGCTGTCTCCCTGCTTCTTCCGACAAAGCGATTCCACACCCTCTTTCTGAGACTTAGACTTAACAGAGTTGAAGGGACCTAGACTGTTACCAAAGACACAACTCTCCACTTCATAGGTGATGAAACATAGAACAATGTAGTCAAGTTATATGAACTGGTCAAGTAAGTAGCACACCAAAATAAAAAACCAGGTTTCCTGGCTTCCAAAACAATCTTCTCTTCCCTACACCATGCTAACTCTTACTGCAGAGATAGCAAAGTTTATCCTAAATGGGCTTTGGCAACTAGCCTAAATATTAAATGTGAACTAAATTGAACATGGACACAAACAATGGTCACCAAGTCCCAGAACGGATTGTGTGAGCCCTTTGAGACATTCATCCAGTGTTGTTTCGGATAAATCTCTATTTCAATCTTTTCCTATACGTTAGTTATTGAAAAAACAATAGAAAACCACAAAAACAAGTTGGCCTTTTTGTGTTCCTTGAGCCCAGTCACAAAGGGCCCTCATGACTGGACCTCATGCCAAACAACTCATTACAAAAACAGCTAGGGTTCCAGACTGCGCCAAAGCTTCGAGACCTCTCCTTGTCTACATGGATGAGTGGCTGACTGTGGAGCCCAGGCTGTTGCTTCCCAATCTGGTGGTGAATCCTCCATAGTCTGGTGAGTGTAAATATGTATGTATATTATACATATATCTTTTTCCTTCTCCCTTCCCATTGCAATTTGCTTATTATATCATTTGCTTATATCTGCATTGCCATTTACATGGGATAAAGCTTGTTTACCCTTAAAGGTATTGTGTGTGTGCCTTCTCCCCATGCGTGTTTCCCACACAGAACACCTACGAACCTATTTTTTATGATTTTTATGAGAAAATGAATTCCAAGTTGTGCCTCAGAATTCAGAATATATCTTTCAACCTCCTACTCATCCCCTCACCACCCTGGTGAACACAGTATCTGGCCAGCAGGAAGGAATGGAGAAGACCATTTTATGTTCTTAATAACTTGCTTGGAAATGAACAGAGCACAATTTATCAAACCAAAGCAAATATTTATACAGGCAGATCCCTCAAAATTGAGGATTAATGTTGAGGAAGAATTTTTCAGAATTATCCAAATTAACTGCTTGTCTTTCTCAGAAATAAATCTGTTACTAATGCTTCCTCCACCAACCAGCTGCAAAACCACACACTATTCTTTGAAGGAGGAACACAGAAAACCAGCTTACTTCCTGGGGCATATGGGATAGGGATCTAAAAATCCTAGTGATATGGGAATGACTAGAACCTTTTTTTTTTTTTTTTTTTTGTAACAACAAAGCTAAAAGGGAGTGTGTAACTTAGCTTAACTTGTAAACATATTCATGGAAGTCATCTATATATTACCACTTTGTGTAATTAAGGCAGAGCATTAGAGACTGTTCACATCATTAAATATGTCCAGTTAAATTATTAGATTACAACACTAACCTCTTGTTCATAGTCTCTCAGTCTTCAGCTGGGCACAGTGGCTCACGCCTGTAATGTCAGCACTTTGGGATGCCGAGATGGGTGGATCACTTCAGGTCAGGAGTTCGAGACCAGCCTGGCCAACATGGTGAAACCCCGTCTCTACTAAAAATAGAAAAATTAGCTAGGCGTGGTGGCAAGTGCCTGTAATTCCAGCTACTCGGGAGGCTGAGGCAGGAGAATCACTGGAACCCGAGAGGTGGAAATTGCAGTAAGCCAAGATGGCACCACTGCACTCCAGCCTGGGTGACAAGAGCAAAACTCTGTCTCAAAAAAAAAAAAATAGTCTCTCAGTCTTCATACTTTGTTGCTTATATAGTTGGATTATCTGCTCCTAGGTTTTAATATAAGATGAAATAAAAGTGCTAGCCTAGGAACTGGAGGCCAACTTACCTTAGGGGCAAAGGCAATGGTGGTGAATATACCCAACAGCTTCACTTTCTATGGAGCCAGCTTGTAAAATCTTGGGCAAGGATGGTGGCAGCAGAGCTGTCTGCCTAAGCATATGTAGAAAACTTTTAAATGGTTTCTTTGAACCCTAGCTTGTAGTGTCGTTTCTGATCCTCATTGTATTGGAAATCCATGGTTTTGTTACATAATGTATTCCTAAAAATGTGTACACGTGTTGAGTATGTGGAAGTTGAATATATTTATGTTATAAATGAGCAGTTCTGTTTCTGGAAAATGAAAATTTTCACCTCATCATTATAGACATTCTTTGATAAGACAGTCCCAGTGTTTCATCCAAATTCTTTCATTTTCTTCTTTTACATATAACCAACCATCTTGGATGTTAAAGGAACAACCAGTGAGGGCTTAAGATTCTGCCGCTTTTGACTTGGCACTCCTGATCGGTTCTATCCATGTCTCAAGTGTATCACATTCATGAGACACAGGCTTCTCATCAGCAATTTCAATTTTATGTTTTCTACTTATTTTTATATAAGAATACAATGCAACAAAATATTCATATATTGCACAAACAGTGATGTGCATACAAAGATGCTAACAACATTGGCTGGTAATAGGCTTTACCATGTTACAATCTAAATGCTTGTTCATAAGAGAATGTACAAAATTCTAAATTTGGCATCCAAAAGGGGGCTTACAGTTACTGAATATTTTTCCCAGCCCTATTTTTAAAATGTCACTTTATCCAAAAGGGGGCTTACAGTTACTGAATATTTTTCCCAGCCCTATTTTTAAAATATCACTTTAATCAAATTCAAATTTGCCTACGATGGAGCCTGTCTATAAGTAACAGTAAGGGCAAGCATACCAACATCGAAATTCTTCTTCTTCTTATCTCACGTGCCTCTATTTCTCCAAAATAAGTGACAAGGAGAGTAAAAGGACCACTGAGGGAACATTTGCAGAATGCTACTAAGTGCCAGGCCCTGTGCAATTATAGTATAATTAATTACTATAAACACTCTCGTGATGGACATGGCCAATAGTGTATTTTATGTCAAAAAACAAAAACAAAACCCAAGACTCCAGAAGCTGTTAAGAGTCCTTGTTTCAGTACTCTTCAGTAAGAGTCCTTATTTGCAGGACTGAGGAATGAAATTGAGAAAGAACCTTTAATCATTAGAAAAGGACCTAATAAAACTGTACTTAAATGGATCATTAATGTGGATTTTTAAATTTTGTGTGGGATAGAGAATAACCCCATGGGAAACAAACACGTTTCGAATATTTTTTAAAGGAATAGTTCTGATTCTAATTTTACTGTATGTTTAGGCATCATTAAGGACCTCCGATTTGAAGGTAGATGTATGTGCCAGGGACTCCAAATTCATGATATATGTTAAGGCTCCACATTCTATGCAAAAATGGATTTACCAAGCATGATGGT